AGGAGGAGGAAGAAGAGGAGGAAGAAGAGGACAGGCGTAGGAGCCCAAGACCCGTCACCTTCACACTGGGCAATGAGATCCTGGGGCTGGGCCCAGAGACCGAGTTTCAGAGCCCTGACGCCGAGGTCTACATGCACTTCATGAGGAGCCACTGCTGCTACGACGCCGTCCCCACCAGCTGCAAGCTCGTTGTCTTCGACATCTCTCTGGAGGTGACAAAGAAGGGGATCGGCGGGGGAAGCCGTTTGGTGGGGGGGGCGGATCCCCTGACCAGCTCCCCACTCTGCTGGCAGATCAAGAAAGCCTTTGTGGCACTGGTGGCCAACGGGGTACGTGCCGCTCCACTCTGGGACAGCAAGACGCAGAGCTTCGTGGGTGAGTGCCAGCTGCACCGCTTGGCCCCTTCCCCTGCTTGGTGGCGAGGGGTGCGGGCAGTGGTGCCAGCCCCACATATCTCTGCAGGGATGCTCACCATCACTGACTTCATCAACATCCTCCACCGCTACTACCGCTCGCCCCTGGTGAGTGTGGTGGGGAGGGCACGGGTGCCAGGCAGGCATGGGGCAGGGAGGGGCTGTCCCCACCTCTTCTGGTCCCCTCTTCATCACTAGGCCATGACCAGGGGATGCTCTGGGCCAGCCCAGTGTCCACTTGGTCCCCCTCTGCCTGGCACCCAAGATGTGATCCCCACGCTCAGGATGATGGGGTGGGATGCCCGGGGAAGGGGGCAGTGCCCCAGAGCCCACTCAGTCCCCCATGAGGCCACCATGACCAGGGCATCTCCCTGCCCTCAGGTGCAGATCTACGAGGTGGAAGAGCACAAGATTGAGACCTGGAGAGGTAAAAAGCAGGGAGCGATGGGGGTGGCTGGGCTGGGCATGTCACACAGAGGCTGCATGAGGGCACTGGGAGACCCTCTGTCCCAACTCTCTCCCTTGTCAGAGGTGTACCTGCAAGGCTCCTTCAAGCCACTGGTCTACATCTCCCCAAGCAACAGGTGAGCACCTGCCCACTGGGGGAGAGCACACCCCGCAGCCGGTGTGACCGGGATGCAGCTCTATCCTCCCCCCCACGGTGTCCCCATCACCTGCAGCCTCTTCGACGCTGTCTACTCCCTGATTAAGCACAAGATCCACCGCCTGCCTGTCATCGAGCCCATCTCAGGCAATGTCCTGCACATCCTGACGCACAAGCGCATCCTCAAGTTCCTCCACATCTTCGTAAGTGCCAGGGTTGTATGTGGACACACGTGGCGGGTGTGTAGGGGCACAAGCAAGGGTGTTGGGGTACGTGTAAGTGCCAGCCCAGCCCTGCCCCACCGCAGGGCTCCACTATCCCCAAGCCACGCTTTCTGAAGAAAACGGTGCAGGAGCTTTGTGTTGGCAACTTCCGCGATGTGGCCGTCGTGCAGGAGACCGCCCCC